CCTTTTGTTTTCTATTTTTACTATCTTTTTTTTTACATACTTTTTTAACAATTATTTTTTTGGGGGTGGGTTCTTTGATTTTTTTTGTACAAGTTTATGTTAACATTTATATTGTATACACTTTTCTATTATTTTTTAAGCCAAATATATTTTGATTTCAATTACCATCTTTCTATAGTCTTGCCCACCTCTCTTACTTTCCACTTGTTGAATAAAGCATCATGTTTTGGACAGTAATTTGAATGAAACTTCGATACTTGGATTCATTTTGGAGTTGCGGATTCGAGTTCTACTACACTTAATTCTTAGTTGTTGTTTTGGCCCTGTTGAACAAAAACCTTTTTTAGGTGCTTAAGGAATTGCAAAATAAGTATATATAAATGAATAAGAGCATGCGAAATTATACTATGACATAAAGCCATACATCTATTTTCAAAATTCTCGTGGTGCAAAGAAAAACTTAGAAAAAATTGATTTGATTATTAATTTTTTTTGAGAATTTCAGACATATTGACTTCCAGTGTTGTTGGAATGAAATTAAACATAAACAAAACTCTCGAGTGATTTTTATGGTCGACAACTCTTTAAAACTCTCGGATAAATGAACGAGCCAACAAACATAGAACAGAGCAAAATATTCGAAAGCTCACAAAAAAAGGTCGTCACAGTTATACACATAATCACTATTTAATCTAATAAAGCTTCATTTTATGATAAAATTTGTGAATTATAGTATTTTAAATCATTTATCACCCTATATAAAGAGGAAAAGGTTAACATAAATATGGATTTAATTCTTTAAAACTAAGGGCTTCTTCGTTAACTGATATATCTATCAAAATAATTTTCAATTCCGGTGAAATGTATGTTGTTGACGGAAAAAAATTAATTAAAGAAAACTTTGTAACTAAATTTGTCTAAACAGAAGTTTAAAGATGATCCTTAAATACATGTGATATCTAGGTGTTTTGTGTGGGTTGGAATTAATTAATTAGGTGATTAAACCTAATTAACAGAGCACATAATTAAATCCCACTTTACATTCGATTTGAGTCATTAATCAAATTATTAGTGTCGTGGTTCATGCATCAATCTTCCGCTCTGCACGGAAACTAAATCGGTACATTCCTTTTAGGTAGTTAATTAGTTCTCTTCGATCCAAGTTTGGACTCATCTAAAAGCGTCCCCAAAAACCATTATACTTCAACTGTTTTAGTTGCTAATCATATGCATCATATAGAAAACAATTTCCAACGTCGACCAATATAACAGCAGAATCATGCAATTGTAACCATTTGCTAATGAACGACCCATATGCAATGTGTTTTATAACCTGAAGTCCTGAACCTTACTTGGTGGATCTGATTCGTATTAATATTTATCATCTAATATTTGTTGTATCTTATCTACAATAAAGATTAAATGTAGAGGACTATTCTACGGTTTAACAAAAAAAAAATTCCATTCCTTTAGCACGATTATTAAATGACCATTACCAAACCACTTAATCATGGTATATTTTTAAAGTATATAATTTTAATTTTGTGATCATTTGGAAAACAAAACATAAAAATGATACTTTATAGATTTTTTAGTTTTACAGTATATTATTAACAATTTGAAACCACGGAGAAAAATAATACTCCTAATATGTATATACTATATTAATGTGATGAAGTTCCAAGGGAAAAAACAAAGAGAAAAGTGAATAAATTTTGTAATGACATTAAAACCCACATGTGTTGGGTCCAATGAAGAGATTTAAACTCCATTAATTAAAGAGATCTCACAATGTCACATCAAAATGTAGATCGGCCTATGTCCAACGTCAAAGGATAAAGCCAGCAGTTCAAAACCAATTTCGACCACAGCATTTTGTACATTTATGATTATTATTTTATTGATGACAAAAAAAAAGATTATTATTTTATTATTATTGATATGTAGAATTGATAATAATTCAAATTTTCAAAAAAGTTCTTATATATTTCTTGCTGGTATTTGTATAAAGGCAAAATGTATCATATTACATGTATCAGTTCTATTTTAATCTTTTTACTTTTTAGTGTATTTAAAAAGATTATGATCGATGAATAACACAGGAAAAAAATAGACAAACATTGAGCTAAATAGATTAAAAATTTTACATATTTTTTTTGGCGTTTTATAGTTCAAATTTCATACTATACAATGATACAAACTTGATTTCTTATCAATTTTAAACTATACATATTTAATTTGATTAGAATTAATAAAAAAATCTCATATAAAATTATCGATACATTTACATAGGTGTTGAGTCATACGCATTAGAATGTCTTCTAGTAGCGTCAAAATCATCTTTTATTGAGGATATATCGATAAAAGAAAAGAAAATAGCTAGCTCCATAAATAGTAAATTTTAAGTTCGACCAAAATACTTGAACTGGACATGTCTAACATCTTGGAAGTAGAACTTCTGATGATTATGACTATATGTACTATAACTCTATAACGCATGTACACCGTGTGAAGTCTATTTCAAAGCCCATGGAGGAGAGTGATCATCTAGCCTTATGTACCCTCACCGCATGTTACCTATTTAGAAACTACAAGGTGAGATGTTGAATTTGAGTGACCATTATCTTTTTGCTTTCTTCTTTGTTTTTGCCATACTTGTCACTTGTCACCTCACATTCACATTTATTCTCAATCTATTTTCATTACCTTGGCAAAAATCCTAGCTAGATAGGCATCATCTTGGATTCCTAGTTATGTGTTTTGGTTGTAAATACTTAGCTAGCTAGAAATCTATCACATAGGTAGATATGCGTCCATATACATTCACAGTGCCATTTACTTTTTTATTTAACGAAATTGCGTAACAAGATTTTATACGACTTTGATTTAAAGTTGTCAATTAGACCAATTTTACGTATCTCGACCAAATCTTTATCGTTTTTCAAACAAAATGCGGTCTAATTTGACTATCAGATTAGCCAAAAATAAAAATAAAACCAAAAACATGGTTATATCCAAAAAAATTAAATATTTTTTGGATTAAATTTCTAAAAATCGATATCTTTAGAGTTGGATTTAGGTCTTTTTTGACACATCTACTTTTGATTAATTAGTATATAGGCGGCAGGTATAAATGAGTCAAAATGATTTGAGAGTTGCTTTGAAGATATCAGTGACAAAGAGTAAATGGGTAACACATGCGAATGGTCACAAATTCTCCAATGGAGAAATCACTCATGTTCAAGGGTCCACATTGTTTATCTTACACATTACCAAAGTCTGAAAAAACTAGGGTTTGTTCCTTTCACATGCCTATGTCTGTTAGATGAACTACCTCTTGTGAAAAGAAAAAAAATATATATTCCTCTACACTAAACACAAGAAAGAAGAAACCAACAAACACTTGTATTTACCAGACACAATCTTTAAAGATTTAATTTTACGTAAGTCAATTTCCAAGTCCAACGTTAAGGATATATACGGAATGAAATAAATAATAGACAATGTATTTGTTATAAAAGTAGCTAGGAACTAGTACTTCTCTATCAAGTAACTATACAAGCTCATCAAGGGGTTCGATTTACTATAGTTTGTTTATACATATAGTTTATCAAGTTTTAGTTCGTATACTCAAAAATGTACGTAAAGAAAAATAATTCGAATGTACTGGATTTAATCATTGGGATGGTAAAGTTTCGAATGGAACACTATTGTACCCATATCTCTATATCCCTTTTTATGTACCTGCAACCCCACTCACACATATATATAGTATGGGCATTTTAGTTCCAATCCGGGTCGAGATTCATCCTGATTATGTATAATATTTATAATGTTTCTAGTATATAGAAATTTGACATTTTTGTGTAAAATAAATTTTCTTACAAGATATTTTCTCTATTATTAGATTTTGTATAAACAAATACAAACCTTAACTAGCTAGTTTAGTACATTATTTTTGAATGGATAATTTGAGTAGAAGAATTTGAATAAATAGAATGTCCGAAATTCCACATATCTAAAAAACCTAAAATAATTAAATGTTTAGATATTTAGACCATTCGTTCGAATAGATTGGATACATATATCTGAGTTTTCTATATAGTATTTGATTTGTGCCAATCTCTAATATGTACTCATATACGCATGGATGGACACAGACAACACAAGAAACTTGTACAAGTGAGAGTACTTGACAATTCTTTTAGTCAGTTTTATAAAACAATTGTTTATAATTAAAGTGGGTTATGTTTTGTGTGTGGATGTATATAATATTTAATACATCATCATGTACTTATCAAATATGTTTACATATATATATGTATGTATGTCAATGCAACAAAGATTTGGGCTTATAAATAATGAAGAAAATGTTGGTGGGATATGGACAAAAACAAATTGAGAAACAATGAAATAATTCGAACCCATGACGTTACAACTAGTCTCTTTTTTTTTTTTTCTTCGTTACAACTAGTCAAAAGTCCCCACATGATCTTATCAAAGGTAGGTCCATGGATGAGTTGTTTTCAGTATCACGAATTTTGTTATGGCCTTTAAGTGTAAAATGACAAAACTTTCCAAACAAATCAGTGCAATCTAGTCATCTAGATATCAATAGTGAACGATTATGGTAAGTTTTATGGTTTACAATTCAAAATCAATTGGTAATTAGTGGATCGTAACATATTATTTGTTAGTATCATGGTATTTTTGATGTGAGATTCGTAACATGTTTCTTCAAAATAATTGATCGTTTTATCTCATCTTGTATTAAATCCAATATTAGGAGTAGGACTGATGATGCTATGATATCATGATTCCAATTCCAATTCAAAAACAGATATGATTTGTTTTGAACTCTTATAAAGCCCATTGGGCCCATAACCACGAATTCAACAGAATTGTTTTACGCCCATTAGTAATATTAAAGGCCCATTAAGCACTATAGTGAATCCATCAGAATAAAAAAAAATCAGATTTTTTTTTGTTGGTCACGAAATTTCAGCCATTTTATTTAATTAAAAAACAAAGGAAAAAAGAGGACAAGTCACGTCACGAGACAAATTAGCACGCAAAGAAGACGAAGAAGAAGAAGAAGAAGCTCCAAGAATCTGTCGCAGAAATCGCCATGGCAGTCACAGCATTTAACCCATTGAAACTTGCATCGTCGTCTCTAGATCCGATTCCTTCAATCTCTTCTTCTTCTTCTTATTCATTCTCTTTGATATCTGTCGGATCTTCTTTCAAGAGATGTCTAAAGCAGTCATGTTCTGTTCGAGCCATGTCTTCTTCTTCTTCTTCGGCTGCTTCGTCTTCTTCTTCTTCTTCCTTCGGATCGAGAATGGAAGAGAGCGTGAGGAAAACAGTGACTGAGAACACTGTCGTTGTTTACTCCAAAACTTGGTGCTCGTATGTTCACTACTCTCTTTGCTTTTCAATATTTTCAGATAATCTAAATTAAGATTGCTTAATTGGAGAATGGGTTTGTTAAATATTCTTGTAAAGTATCGTTTTTTTACATGGGTTTTATTGTTCTTTAGATCTTAATGTTTCTGTTGATAATTTGTTGGGGTTTGGTTGTGTATTGAAGATACTGTACTGAAGTGAAGACATTGTTCAAGAGACTTGGGGTTCAGCCACTGGTTATTGAATTGGATCAACTTGGTATGTTTACATTTCCTTAACCTTTCTATTTATTTCATAGCTTAGCTTTGATTAATTGATTGATTATGATTATACTAAGCTTTAGTTCATGTCATGGCTTTAGATGGAGGATGAACTAATGATTTTTAGTTGTTTAGAAGTATCCATTAGTTCTATTGCCGCCTTTAACCTTTGGATTTGGTTTCATATGCATAGTACCAATTTAGTTTGTGTTGTGGCATTTAGACTCGGTGAAAGAACACAAGTCTTGTTCACCTTTCAATTGGTTTAGTTTTGTAGATTCGAATGAGTTCGTATGTTTTTTTTTTAATATCTTTAACTCCTGTTTCTGGACTTTGGGTTTAAAACTTACATTTTGGGGATTCTTGTTTGCCTTTGGTATTTGTTTCTTGGAGAATCACTAGTCTATACTTATATCATAATAGTAAATGTTGTCTCTCTTTGATAACAGTTGAAGATGCAATTGTCAAAATATTTGGTGATTTTGGACAAGAGAGAAAAATCTGTTATGTTTCTATCTTAATTTTGTTTGAGTAAACTATGTTTGGTTCATTTCAGGTCCACAAGGGCCACAACTGCAGAAGGTACTGGAAAGACTTACTGGGCAACACACTGTTCCTAATGTTTTTGTCGGTAAGTATTTCAATCCGTTTATATCGATCATATCTTCATTGGAAGCTGTTTTCTCTATATCCTGCTTCAAAAGATGAAACCTTTAGATATCTCAAAGAAGTGAACAACATAGTTTCAGTTAGTAACAAACACATAAAATTGTCTAATCTGTGTCCTAATGATCAGGAGGCAAGCACATTGGTGGCTGCACAGGTACATTCTCCTTCTCATCTCACCTCTTTTGGTTAGATGCCTCAGTTTCTTCTACTTCTCAAATGTGAGTTTTGGATGTGATTCAATAGTCGACATAATCTTCTTCTTGTTGTATTACAGATACAGTGAAGCTTAACAGGAAAGGAGATCTGGAAGTGATGTTAGCTGAAGCCAACGGTAAAACTGGTCAGTCTTGAGGAGGTGATGAAACTAGTTCGGAGATTTTGCATATGGAGCTTGGAAAGTTTTCTTATTTTCGTTATTATCATTGTACCTCATTTGAATACAATAATCATAGTTAATAAATAATTTGAATTCACAGTTTCAAGCCTTCATAGTAACCCAAAAATTACCCAAAAGAAAAAAAACAGAGCTCGTAAATAAAGGAGGAAAAAGTGATGTAATGTATTCCAGAAAATCCCAAATGTGAGAGAAGCGTGGCAAGTTTAGGATCACACAGGCCAATAGAGAGAAAAATGATCTAACAATGAAAAGAGAAGTCATCATCTTCTGAAACAGGGGAAGTTGCAGAGAATCTAGCGAGACCAATGGCTACTCTGGTCTCGTCTCAAACTTACATCTACCATTGTCATATTAGTAAACAAGCTCTTTATCAGTCAAAAGAATCATACTCTCCTCGTAGATTTTCTCGTCATAATCACAGAGAACGACTTGATTTTTCTCCTAGATTGACAATAACTGGAAAGCACCAACCTTTGTCTTTCAACACCGTGTGTTTTGCTGCAGATGAGCCCTCCGAAATCAGGTAAAATTCGACTTCTTCTAACATTTTAAATTGGGTTTCGTCTTTAGATTTAAATGAATAATGGGTTTAGGTTCTATCTGTGTTATTGTTGAATCAATTTTAGTACTTGGTAGATTTTGATGCTCAATGAGATGATGAAAGGTTGAGACTTTGAATGCAAGAATGTTATCTCTCAGCTTGTTGCTACCATTGTTTCTGTGAAATGTTAGACACTTTAATGAAGCCCTTTTGTTTGTAATGACAGAGCTAAGTTATCTCTGTTTTTACTTTCAGTGCTGATGCTAGAATCCGTAGTGAGGTTCTGTCTCCGTTCAGATCAGTCCGTATGTTCTTCTACCTCGCCTTCATAGCTAGCGGTTCACTAGGGGGACTAATAGCCACTTCCAGGCTCATCGGTGCCCTGGCGAATCCGGCTAGATCAGGCGAAGTTCTTGAGATCGTTAAGGGTTTGGGGATTGACATTGGTGCTGCTTCTCTCTTTGCGTTCCTCTACTTCAACGAAAACAAGACCAAGAACGCGCAAATGGCTAGGCTTTCGAGAGAAGAGAATCTTGCAAAACTCAAAATGAGGGTCGAAGAGAACAATAAGGTTATCTCGGTAGGTGATCTCAGAGGCATTGCTAGGCTTGTGATCTGCGCTGGTCCTGCGGAGTTTATTGAAGAAGCGTTTAATAGAAGTAAAGAGTTTACACAAGGGCTTGTGGAGAGAGGTGTGGTTGTCGTGGCTTATGCTACGGATGGGAATTCGCCGGTTTTGGAGTTTGATGAGGCTGACATTGTGGATGAAGAAATAAGTCAGAGAAGGAAGAGACTGTGGCGGGTGACTCCGGTTTTTGTCCCGGAATGGGAAAAGTAAGAATCTTTCCTTAAAGATAGTGAAACCGAGTTGAAAGAATCGAACTTGGAGGTGTTCTTGATCTCTGTTTTTTGCATGAACAGGTGGTTAAATGAGCAGAAGAAGCTTGCCAATGTTTCTTCAGACTCTCCAGTGTAAGTAGTTCCTTGCATTTCATTTTGGAACCGGTTTAAACTGCTCATGCACTGGTTCTTGAGCTGAAAATATGAGTGTTTTAGCGTAAAGACCATCGATTTAAACTCAGTGCCACTGAATTGTTGTTGATTTTAGGTATTTGTCACTGCGTTTGGACGGGCGTGTAAGAGCAAGTGGAGTGGGTTATCCTCCATGGCAAGCCTTTGTAGCACAACTTCCACCGGTTAAGGGAATCTGGACCGGTCTTCTTGATGGTATGGATGGTAGAGTGTAAATACTCTTAATACTTTAGGGACAAACAGTGGCGGAGCCAGAAAAATTGTTTATAGGGGTCAAATTTTTTTATATAGAAAATACATAAGTTCATTAGAAAAAATAAAATAGCATCAAAATATACTTTTAAGAATTTTATCTTAGAATTGTTCATATTTTGTAAGTATTTTATTATTATTTCCTTTGTTACATAAACAATTTTATGAGCAAAAGCATCAAAATATTTTACGTCAAACTAAAGTATACAAATTTTAACTTAAAAATTTTTGACAAAAAAAAACTCAAAATTTTATTTCAATATCATTTTCAATGGATAATGTTAATTGAAATAGAGGAAAAAAAAAGAAAAAGAAAATCATAAAGTAGCAAAAGAATAGAGATAATTAGGTTGAACTCATTTTAATGGATATATAGTTTTATTTTTGTTTATTTGTAATGAGTTTATTTGTATTAAATATTTTTTATATATAATATATAATATTTAGTGCTTTTCTCTTAAATTAAAATTTGATGGGGGTCAAATTTTATTTTGTAATGGAGTCAATTTATAAATGATTAATCAAATTAGACTAAGTTTTAAAAATCCATGGGTGTCAATTGACCCCATGGTATAGTGCTACCTCCGCCACTGGGGACAAAATGACATGTTTCTAGTCTCATAAAATTTATCAAATGTATAGTTATGAAAAGATTTTGACTTAAAAATGATCAGTTTCGCTTCTGTAGTCATATTTATTTGGAAATACGATTTTAAGATCTATCCCAGCAGACCAGACCGAGTATTTAGGTGTGTACCGAGTGAAATATACCGGTTTCGAATTGTTTATGAAAACGGTTACGAGAGCTAACCATGATTAGAAAGAGACTTTTAACTGAATTTTCATCACAGTCTGTGAAAAAAATAAGAAAACCGGCTCGAAATTCAGATGAGGAGAAATAATTGGTAAACTTTTCGGTACATACGGTTCGGGTCATGTTACAAACGGATAGACCGGTATTGAATACACAGTTTTTGAATTCTCCCATTTAAGCTGCAACTTCTTCGACCTCGTCCAATGCATAGTTGTTGGTCGATATGTTGGCGTAATTCACTTTCGCGAACCGAACCACAACCGGGTATCGGGTCTTTGGGTCCTGCACATTTTAAAATCCGGGTCAAGAAACGATACAAACCGGCATGGTGAAAGATATATACATATGACCGTTAGATAGTTGATTGGAGACTAAATGCGTTACCTGATCAACGGCAACAACTGATCCAACGTTCTTGAACCAATAGGATTCTCTCCTTAGAATCTTGACCTACGAATCCCAAGACTTTATATCAGATAAGAAACGATTGATTATAACCAAAGTATGTGGTTACAAGTCACACGCGCATAAACACAATTAGATATGAACCATGTTATGAACAAAAGATGTGGTGAAATTTATTTATTTCGTCACTAAGGATACAATTTTTGCATAGTGATTATGATACAAAAATTACGATTTCGCAATTAAAGACTCCTACTAATTAGCTAGTTGTGTGATTGGCAGATTTATTTTGTCATTTCACCATTCTACAGATTACCAAAAAGAACTTAAATAAAATTCGCTCATATACATGAATCCAACGATCAATAAGTAACTTTGGCTAATGAAATTTAAACGGTTTAGGTTAGCTGACCTTAGACCCTCTCTTAGGGCCAATCGGAGGTGGCTTGGGTTTGGTGGCAGCAGCTCCAGCCGGAGAAGCGGCAGCTGCCGGAGAACCTTCCGATGACGAGGTTGCTGGAGCCGCATCTTCGGCTGCCCTGACTACGAGCCTAGAACCGGCGTTTCTCATCGGCAAGAAAGACACGGAGTTCCTGGACGATGAAGCGCCGGCGGCCGAGGTGACGTTGGCCGGCAGAACAAACACCGTAGATGTTGTCGTCATCGCCATCTCTGGTTTTTTTCTTTTCTTTTTCTTTCTTTCTTATTGTTATTCCGACACGAAATAGTGCTTCTTGATTGGTTTTGTTGATAGTAGTAATATGCTCGTAAGGCTAAGAAAAGAGGAATTGTTTGAGATGTTTTGGGTTAAACGAATCGTTTCCCTCCACTTGAGATCTGCCACGTGTACATCACATATCTGTTCTTAAGGATAATGTGCTGACGTGGTTTTAGGTTACTCTTATTTCAGATTTCCTTTGTTACACGTTTATGGAATGAAATTTAAAAATAAAAATGAATAATACGAGGAAAAAGTAAATATTTAGTGTTTTCTTTTTTTATGTGGGTAAATATTTAGTGTTTCTTTGCAAAATCGACATGTAAATATGTTTTGTTTTTTTTTCTTTGTTAAAGGGAGATAATTTAAAAATAATTTAATCCATAACTACTCTTTAATTAATCCTAAAATGTAAACCAAAACCTATATTTTAGATGAACCATGTTTTTTCATACCGGTAATAATATCAGTCCGCGATTAAATTCTGTTCGTTTTGCAAGTTGCAAAATATCTATAATAATGACATTTTGTAGCAATTAAGTCGTATTTATTTTGTAGTCGTTCACAACAAGAACATATTTTAGTAGTAATCGTACGTTGATCTCAAAATCTGAAACCTAACTTTTAGTGATTAACAATTTAAGTCGTTAGTCACTGAAATGTGTTGCCAAAAACTGGCAATTAACCAACGACTATGAAATAGATAAAGCTTAGTCGTCGTTGTTTACTACTCACTAATAACTACAGTCTACAGATCAAACAACAAAACGTGTTGTTGGTTGATGTCGCTAACACTTGCAAAACTAACATGGATATGCTATATCATGAAAATAATCACAAACAAAGTCAATAATTTCCACTGTTAAATGTTTTTCTAATTATTTTTCATTCAACATTTTCTCTAAACATTTCTTTGCAAGTTTCTACCAAAAAGAAAATTTCTCAAATATCTCATACATTTGTGTTTTCCATTATCTTTTGATCTTCTTTGCAAAACCTTTTTTTTTAATCATAATCAACCTGAGTTTTTTCTTATTTCACTACATTTTAGTTAACTTGAGGTTATATAGTCAAGAGCAAGAAATCACAAGTTGTTTATCAAAAAAAAAAAAGAAATCACAAGTATACTTAGGTAAATAAAGAATATGTTTTTAATTTGTATTCGATGTGTTTTTCTATTGTTTTCTTTCTTTGGCCAATGTATATGCACATGCGTTTCCTTCTCTTCTTGTAAATGAGATCCTTATTAGCTCTCCTGTTTTAGCTATCCAACTTATTATCTGCAAGTAGTTCCCCAGCTATAGGCACACGCAAAAACTATATTAGCACTTTCTTTTGTTGTATTTTTTTTGTAACAATAATATGAACGACATAATCGAATGATATATACTATAGTAAAGCATATTAATTAGTGATCTCTTAACCCGTTAATTTGATTAGATTGTCGACATTTTTTATTTCATGCACATAAATACTAGTGAGACCACTACATATCGATATACGAGACACAACTACCAAAAGACAAACATCGTGTCACAAGATTAAAAATATTAGCACATTCATGTTTTTAACAAGTTATGATGAATATATTGTATTTCTCTACCTTATATTATAAGGGTCGGTTGGTATTCTATTGTAATGAGTGTAAAGGTGTACTCACATGAAATGGAACACTAGCAGTACAGTTTATTGTCTTACTTGTGTCCATAAACTAATTATTTAGTGCCAGCAAATGGCCATGCTGTTTTCTTTCTTCTTCAAAGTATAGTATTCTAGATTTATCTTTATTATATCCTTAAATATTTACATAGAATCTGAGCCTAATGTATTTGATCTTCGTAATTCAACGGTGTAAAATATTTTAGTTACAAATTTTATATGTAAAATCAATTATTCTATTTGAACTGCATAATAAATTGTAACTGAAATTTTATGGCATAATCCAACTGGCGTGTTCCCCTACTTATGTGATTGGCTACGCTGTTTAGTGGACCCCACATTGCCACGTCATCGGAGTAATTTCGTCAAGACAAAAACCTAATAAGCATTACTAACGAATTACTAACGAATGATTTAACGTACAAATTTGGTTTTAGTGTGATTTAAATCTACGAAACCGATGATATTTTGGTGGTTTAGTTGCTGTACCGGTATCGTGAAGTCGAACCGGAGGGAAGATGATAATGCGAGTGTGCACTTAACCACGTGGAATGCTATGGCTTGTCAGTGATTTGGTTATGCTAAGGGTCCCGTGACTATAAACTAGCTATATTCAAAGGTACACAATGGCCTCAAAGTTAGATTTCTAATCATAAGATATGAAATTATAAGTACTCTTTATATATCTTCATGAAAAGACATACATCCACATCTCATCCTTCTTTTCATAACCATCTTAGTCAAAGTCGTATTCATTTTGTAAATAGCCAAAAATTGTAATTCGTTATTAAAATGAGTAATTTCAAAGATGTAAGTACATAATATGTAATGTCAGTAATGTATTATGTGTCAAATTTATTTCTTGGTAGTAAATGGTAATAATACATTGGCAAACTAAACAACATTAGGCAAGCCATTTTGAGCCAGTGGCAATAGCAGTTAGGTGCAATCTTCTTAAAAAGGTAACTACGCCTTATTCGGTTCGAATCGTCTAGGAACCAAATAGCTCAAGAAAAAAAAAAGTTGGCCAAAAAATTAGTAGAATTATATCAAGTTTTCTTGATAGATGATTTGAGTATAAATGATGGATTTAAGAGCTTTATAATTTTGTGGCTGAAAAGATTGTTAAATAGATGGTTTATTTTTTCTTTTTCTATATACATATTATCGATTAAGGCCATAAAGTTTTCTTCTTTCTTGAAATTGATGACGACAAAATGTTATCGCTCTATGTTTTTATTGCTCTTTTTGTTATCTATTTTTTTTTATTAACGGATATTAAAGATACATACATACATTATTATAATGGCTGGTCCATTTCAGTTTTTCTTATTTTTGGTCCCGATTTGATTTATGTATATAAAACATGTAGAGCCAATAGTAGTGTAGTCGTTATCTTTTTATTACTCGAAGGCTCGAAACCATATAATGATTCTTGTTTAGCGTATCGTCTCTTTTATGGCTGCATAATTTACATGGCTTGCGTATGTGCTACACATTATCTTGATCATTTCGATCTCACGACGTTCTTGGTTACATTTAAAAAAAGCATGTTAAAGAACTT